CCTATAGTTTATCCACTATCTTGTATAATAAAACCATAACACGCATATTCATGTTGACTTCACGAAAAACTGATTGATTGATTACTGACGAATTTTTCTTGATATAGCCACTATCTTGAACCATGACTAACTCAATGGTGAAACCCGCATATCGTTTCTGAGTTACAGCAAGTTTTTCGAAAATGTGACTTCACGAAAAACTGATTGATTATTGACGAATTTTTCTTGATATAGCCACTACCTTGAACCATGATTAACTCAATGGTGAAAACCGAATATCGTTTCTGAGTTACAGCATGTTTTTCAAAAATGTGCATTTTCCTAAGAGTTACCGTCACTTTTTTTCAGTTAAAAATTACCAAAGCAGTTTTCTACGTTGAGTTAATGGTGTAAGAAACTTATTTATCAAATGAGATATCAATAATTATTGATGGAAAATTATTTTTTTGATAGGACACCCTGTATATTCCTATAGTTCAATAGAGCTCAAAATTAGCTTTCCAAGAATGGAGCACACTTGATGTTTGAAATACAGAGCTGTTAGGTTTTTTCATGTAGACTTTTAAAACGCACACTTCGATCCTACGAAAAACTTTATGTTAACCTAAATTATAGGAAATTCAATTTTATACAACTTTTTCATCACAATTTTTCTCATAAAATTCGAAAATCAACGTGATAATACAATGACAAGATTTTATCCCTGTCCTTTCCTCGGGTTTAAATCGAAAATTATCGATCCGACAGAAAAATTGATTGAAACCAAAATTGTAGGAAATTCAATTTTGTATAACTTTGATCATCATAATTTTTCTTGTGAAATTGAAAATAAACGTGATATATCAATTATAAAATAATACAACGGCGATTTTTCCGGAATTCATCTTGATGTGCTCTCTTTTACTGAATGAGGTTCAGGATCGCAACTCGACTTTTATATGATTCGATTGTGGTCGTGGTAGCGCCCTACACTATCCCTACTCTTAGCTCTATACGTTCCTGCGTCGTGACTCACTTCAGCAACTGCATATAATATTGCAAAAGGTCACTCAAAGTCAAACTGGAAACGCACTGCAAAAGCCTCTTGGTCCATGCAGCTGAAGATCGTTCAATGTCGAATCCTTAAATTTTCCAAATAGCCGCATCAAACAATGAAGGTAATTCAATGTCAAACCCAAAACACTACCTCAAAGTCACTTCGTCTGCGTCGTGAGACGTAGGTCAACGTCGTTCAAGGTTGAACTTGGAATGCCCTCTCAATGTCACCTTGGGTACGTTGTGCCATGTAGGTTCAAAACTTCAAGTCGCGTAACTGGCTCGAGTTCATTCGAGGTCAAAGTCACCTTATCGAAAATATGTGTAGTGAATGAAGGTCATTCAATCAGCGAAGTCATATGATATTGCAAAAGGTCACTCAAAGTCAAACTGGAAACGCACTCCAAAAGCCTATTCGTCCATGCAGCTGAAAATCGTTCAATGTCGAATCCTAAAATTTTCGAAATAGCCGCATCAAACAATAATGGTAATTAAATGTCAAACCCAAAACACTAACTCAAAGTCACTTTGCCAGCGTCGCCGTGTTACGTACGTCAAAGTCGTTCAAGGTTAAACTTGAAACGCCCCCTCAATGTCGTATATGTTCAAAACTCATCGAAAACATGGGAAATGAATGGCGGTCATTCAAGGTTAAACCCAAAACACTACGTCAAAGTCATCTCGGCTACTTCGTGTGACGTATATAGAGGTCATTGTCATAACACAGTCCAAAAGCATTCGTCCATGCAGCTGAAGTTCGTTCAAGTTTGAATCCTCAAATCTGACTCCTATGAGTGGGCAGCCCCTCTTTTATATGCTCACTTAAAAAGTGGAGAAGGGAAGGAGAATACATGAACGCCCTCAAATTTACGTCAGCAATGATATATGATATTGCAAAAGATTGTTCAAAGTTGAATCTTCGGAATAGCCGCGTGAATCAATGAAGGTCATTAAAGGTCAAATCCAAAAACACTACCTCAAAGTCACCTTGCTTGCATCGTGGGTTGTTCAAGGGTTGTTCAATGTCAAACTCTAAACAATCGTTCAAAGTCACCTTAGTTACGTTAGATCGTGTAGGTGCAAAACTGGCTCGAATTCATTCGAAGTCAAAGTCACCTTGTCGAAAATATGGGGAATGAATGAAGGTCATTCAAGATTAAAACTAAAACACCACCTCAAAGTGAACTTGCCTGCGTCGCCGTATGTGATGGGGGGAAGGTTCTGAAATCGGCTTAAACCTACTACTTCCACTATTCCCGATTTGCTGGTTTCTCCTCGCTTTGAGAAACTTCCAAAGAAGAAATCAAATAATTTCAAAATCAACTCTATACAGAGATCAAATCAGATCTCTCTGTTTGACAGTTTTATAAGTAACTAGTAGGTACTATGTTGCTGTATCGCTGCTGTTCCAATGTTTTGACAGAATCAGAATCAAAGAACTTAGGCGTGCGCAGCGTTATAGAACAGTGCTATCAAAAAATTATTCTACAGTGCCATCTAGTGGCGAGTTACAGAAAAAAATTGATAGCCTAAAAACCTTCTCTATGAAAAATTACTTATACAGCTTGCATCGTGGGTTGTTCAAGGGTTGTTCAATGTCAAACTCTAAACAATCGTTCAAAGTCACCTCAGTTACGTTAGATCGTGTAGGTGCAAAACTGGCTCGAATTCATTCGAAGTCAAAGTCACCTTGTCGAAAATATGGGGAATGAATGAAGGTCATTCAAGATTAAAACCAAAACACCACCTCAAAGTGAACTTGCCTGCGTCGCCGTATGTGATGGGGGGAGGTTCTGAAATCGGCTTAAACCTACTACTTCCACTATTCCCGATTTGCTGGTTTCTCCTCGCTGTGAGAAACTTCCAAAGAAGAAATCAATTAATTTCAAAATCAACTCTATACAGAGATCAAATCAGATCTTTTATTTTCTTGTTTGACAGTTTTATAAGTAACTAGTACCTACTATGTTGCTGTATCGCTGCTGTTCCAATGTTTTGACAGAATCAGAATCAAAGAACTTAGGCGTGGGCAGCGTTATAGAACAGTGCTTTCAAAAAATTATTCTACAGTGCCATCTAGTGGCGAGTTATAGAAAAATTGATAGCCTAAAAACCCTCTCTATGAAAAATTACTTATACATGTCAAGTTTCATCAAAATCGGTTGAGCGATGTAGAAGTTTATCACTTACCACCCAACCAACCAAGCAACAAACATCCATTTTTATATAGTAGATTGTATTAGGTGTAGTCAGTAGAAGCTAAATCATAAAGATAAATTACAGACACTACACTCTAACTAGACAACGACACCACACACTCACTTACGTTTTAAACCTCACTAACGTTATGCTTTTTTTCATTTTGGTTGGTGAAATATTAAACAAAAGAGGACCTGCAACTAGGATATTTGACAGCAATCCGCCTTCGAACTAGCGTAACTTGATATAATTTTTTTGCCAAGTGTTACTTGTATGAGTAGAGAAAATCGACTTTTATTTTGAAAAACGTATACACAAATTTTCATTATGTACAAGCAGGGTAAAGTCTTTATCTCAAATTTCATGAAGAAAAGTTTACAGGACTCTTTGTAACTTATATCAGTGATACTTCTGAGAATGTTATTTTGTACCAAAAAAACTTCACCTGCATTATCTGATCAACCCCAGAAATGGACACCATAGCGCAACCCCGGCTTCACTTCAGCATAGTTTCATTTTTAGTTAATCTAAACTGAGAATATGGCTGAGATTTCGTAGCTTTAATGCCAAGGAATGCATTGTTAGTTTAATTCCAACGCAATGTGCTTTAAAATTCAGGTTTTTGTCAATCTGAACACCCAAAAACTTTGTACTTTTCGACAATGGAAGCGGATGATTATCTACATCAATATAGTTATATTGGATCCGGATTTTTTTTTATATAAATTGATTGATTGATTAGTTGATAATTAGAAAATTAAATAATTACTGTTTTATCTGAATAAAAAACTAGTGAGTTTCTGGAAAACCACCAGATGAAATATGTCATTGTTTGCTCGGATTTCCGTTGTTTGGTCGGAGCCTGCCAACTATATACTCGAAATAGCACCGGTCCCTAAACTGAAGCTTGTGGTACTCCGATGAGTGATGGAGCCTCTAAGACTAAACTTTGTGGTACCTACTCCGAGTGATAGAGGTATCCATTGAGAGTTGATTGTTCTTTTGTTACCCATTCTATTGATAATGGTTACATATTGGCTTTTGCCAGACATAAGTGAATTTCCCCAAAACCTATATCGTGTAACTTTCTTGAGAGTACCTTGTGTAGATCATGCATAGAATTTACTTTAAGATACAAAATGAAAAATAACCCTCTCGAAATAACTATTTCATATAAACACTTCTTCCTATTTAGTCTGTATTACAAACATTCCAAACATATGGTATATGAAAGAGTTACGATATGAAATTTCACTTCCAAAGACCATGTTATCATCAAGGGCAGACTTCGAAGTCCATGTTGATTGAGTCCATGAGAAATTACATTTGGAAGATAACAAATGCTATTAGATATTTAAACTATATCGTGATTTCTCGCATACTTTTATCGATGTAGAAAATAAAATTGATTCACCTTTATTCAATATTATTTATGATTGATTGATAAATTTGATTTTTAATATCATTTCTTCTTCACTGCTTTGATTTACATGTAAAATTTACTTTCAAATCTTATACTTTTTACACTATTATCTGAAACCAAAGAAAAATCAGATTACCTACTGTTTAATATTGAAACTCTGATGCAGTATCGGAACGGTACCTAGTTATTTGTATACACTCTGACCATAATAGTTACTATTGAAATAAATTACCATAATTCGAGCAACTGACTGTTATGTGTGTTGTCTGTTTCTCACTTGTATCGATATAGATAAGAGTTCTGGCCAAACCTTTGGACCCATCACCATACCACAGCCGCATTATCGCTAGCGCAAGCCAATTCCAGTTACTTGACAACCGATGCTCGGTAGAGAACTCTGGGTATTTACAACTACAAAACTATCCGTTTTACAATGGCCTCTACCACTACATTAGGAAAAATGTTGCTATCAAGTATTATTTCAAGAAATACACAGTTCAAACAGAATATACTGAAAACAAATGTGAGGTTATTTAGTGTCGCTCTTAAGGGTGAGTCTAATTAGTATTACAATTCACTTTTACTTGAATTTATCGAAATATGTATAGAGAAAATTTAAAAACTCCGTAAATAAGTTAACCTCAAATAAAGGTAACTTGGAAAAAAACTGAAAGTATAAAATATTCAAAAACTTAAGAGAACCATTGATGTATTCCCGAGTGGGAGTGACTAATGCACCCATTTTGCGGTTCAGACAATCTGAAATCTGTAACGAAAATATTTTTTCTTCCGAATACTGGGACATTTTAACAGAAAAAAATCAGTGCAATATTCACTAGTTCATTTTCACTATTTTATTGATAAAAATCACGGTTACTTTCATTTTTATTTTGTAAGTTGAAATTTTGATTTCTCCTTTCCTAGACAACTTCGAATACCTGAAGGTGTCAAAAACTGGCGAAAAGAGCAATGTAGCATTAATTGAACTTAATCGTCCCAAAGCACTGAATGCCTTGTGCAAAGGTCTTGTAAATGAACTGGGAGAAGTCCTTCAAAATCTCGATGCTGATTCTTCTATTGGAGCTATTATAATAACGGGAAGTGAGAGGGCATTTGCAGCTGGTGCTGATATCAAAGAGATGGCAAATAAGACATATGCTGAAGCAGTAACCGAAAATTTCACTGAAAGTTGGACCAGTGTTTCGTCAACAAAAAAACCAGTTATAGCGGCTGTAAATGGATTTGCTGTGAGTTTAAATTATCTTTTCCACTACGTTGCATTCATGATCATATCTATAATATGTTATGTAATATTCGTTGCTTTTCAAAATCGAATTGCTCTCATAATTGAGTTGGTAAACAGTTTAATGAAATCGCAAGATAAGAATGGCTATTAGTTATTATCGGTGTAGAAAATGAAACTGATAGATCTTTCTGTATTTTTACAATTTTCATCCCGCGGCTGGTAGCCGCTGAATAGCTGCGGCGGCTGCCGCAATTTTCCAGGTGTGCATTAGAGTATATTGTTTTATATGGAATAACGTTGAACTGTGGCTTTTTAAGTCTAGGATTCACGAAGACTCTCACATTACTTTTTTACTATAGGCAAAATTATTACTACGACAAGTTACTGATGAACAGCACTATTTCTTTCGAAAAAATGTATTGAATTTACGGACTAACTTATCGAAATGAACTAGAAGTATACCCTTTTCACACCTGTGTGAAGTTCTCCATTACAATGTTTTCTTCAGATTGCTCGTACTCATTACTTTCTTGGTATAATATCTATCTTTGTTTGAGGAACATAACAATTATTATGTATACAAAAAATTGAAGTTCTATCTTTTTTTGTTGTGTGTGGACAATAGAAGGGGCTGTCGGAAATATATTTGACAGTTAGATAAATTGAAGATTTTGGGTTTACAAGCCGTTGTCTGTATGTTTTGGATTTCATCTGTAACTGCGGCAGAAATTATTGAAGGTGACGCAGTAATGATCGAAGTGATCTACCTTGTACCTTGTCAACCACCTTCAAACAAACGGTGATCTACCTTGCTGCAATAAGAAACTTGACGTTGTTTTTTTTCGTACCTGCTCAGTGCTATTCTTCTTGAATCATTGTGAGAAACTGCATGTTCTGAAGTGGCGGTATCTTATGTTTTTTTGATATTTAAGCTCAATTTATTACGGCTAAAATTATTTTCATCTAAATCTAAGTCTTTCTGGTATAAATACGTATGTGATGGAATTAGCCGATACTTGATGAAAATCCATAACGAATTCAACTAATATTCAATTGTGAGATTTTCACGAAAGAGTTCACCAAACCACAACAACATGTGAAACATGTGTTGCGATTTTGTGAACTGTTGTGAAATTCTCACAGTAAAATGTTACTTGAATAATCTGTAAGAAACGGCCGTGATACACCATAATATCAGACAATATTCGTATTCTACCTAATTCTACAGAGTCCAGTGCCGCAGCTCTGATGACATGAATATGTTGATGAGTGTCTAGACTAACCTGATTCGATAACAGGTAATGACAAATATAGAAAAAGGTTTATAGGCAAGTTGATATGAAAAACTCACTATACCGATGTTGGTGAATTTGAAATTAGGATTCATAGATGGTGGGGGGAAGGAGTTTGCATAAAAGACATTTCCAATCACCTGTAAATTAGAAACCCTTGGTAGCGTGACATGAGGAGTTTAAACACCTCAGAGATCGTTGATTCGATTCATAATCTCGTCATCACCTTACAGGAGAAGCGAGACTCTAAATATGGTAGGTTTGACGGTCGGCTGAATTGCGGGTATCAAATGTTTAGAAAGATTCGACCCAAGGTAGATAAATAATCAATCAATATTTCAACGATTTATTTTTCAGATAATCGAATATTGATAAGGAGAATATTTATTTCATTGAAAATGAATTTGCCATTGATAGTTATTCATATTTTCATTTTCACAGCTTGGAGGAGGATGTGAGATGGCCATGATGTGTGACATTATTTATGCAGGAGAAAATGCTAAATTCGGTCAACCAGAAATTTTGATTGGCACAATTCCGGGAGTTGGAGGCACACAACGATTGACAAGATCTGTAGGGAAATCCAAAGCTATGGAAATTGTTCTCACAGGTGAAAACTGAAATACCTATATACACATCCAAATATAATTATATTATCATCAGATTTTAAACAGATACCATATCATAACCCTACCGAAACTTGACAATAAATAAATAATCTATAACCGAAACATTTATCATTCAAAAATGTTTGTAACTAAAAAATGATCGAAAAAAATGTTTATTGAGTAGATGATTGAGATTACATAATACAGATGGCTGATGTACAGTAATAATCATTCTGTCAGATGAAACAAAGATAGAAATCTGGATGTGTGTGTCTTTATGTATGCAAATGACATTATCAACACTTAGTAAACACTGTGTATGCTGTAGTGGGAATATCGTGTTTTCTTATTGAAATATATTTGTTCTGGTGAACAAAATAATTCTCAGACCCATTTTATGCACAAGATAAATGACAAAAATCGCGTGGATAATGTGTATAATTGCTAAATGTCCGAAGAATCTTCATACTATTTTTGCTCTTATCTATTTTTGTTAAAAATCAAAAATAAGAATCAGGGATTGATATTTTGCCCTCTAAATAAACATCTCATCTCTTGAAATACAGTTTCAACTTGTTATGAATCCTGGAACATATCTCCATGTCACTGCACTAATTATATTATTGACTTGACATTACTAATCTAACCCTGATAAATCTTCACAATTATTTGAAATTTTATTTTATTTTGATTTTCATGCAGGTAACCAAGTGAATGCACAAGAAGCCGAAAAAATGGGGTTGGTCAGTAAAGTATTTCCGGTAGATAAACTCCTAGAAGAAACTGTGAAACTCGCAGAGAAAATTGCAAGCAATTCCCAAATTACCAATGCGATAGCAAAAGAATGTGTAAATGAAGCACTGGAGACAACTCTTAGGGAAGGTTTACATTTTGAGAAGCGAATGTTCCATGGAACCTTTGCAACAAAGGATCAAAAGGAAGGCATGGCAGCTTTTATTGAGAAAAGAAAAGCTAATTTCACCAATGAATGATTTCATCAAGCGTAAAAGATATTCTCATGGTTGTCCTTAATCACAATGAAGTTGTGCTTAATACTTCATACATTTGAATAATTCTAAAAACATTTTTAATAAAATATATATTCATTTTGTGACAGAGAACTTTTTGTTTAACGATATTTTTCAGTTTCTTATCAGTACTGAATGACAGAATTAAATCTTTGAATTTGACCTACTGTTGTACAGAAGGTTATTTATTTCAATGGGCTTGTTTCATGATTTTTGGTTTATAGTTCACTTGATAGAAATTATTCACACGTTTCACACGTACTATTCGTTTGAGCTTGGTGTTGTAGCATTCCTGTCTAACTTTAAGAATTTTTTCAATATCGATTTGTCTTCGATTTGTTTGATGCGGCTATTTCGAAAATTTTAGGATTCGACATTGAACGATTTTCAGCTACATGGACGAAAAGGCTTTTGGAGTGCGTTTTCAGTTTGACTCTTGAGTGACCTTTTACAATATCATATACAATCGCTGATTGAATGACCTTCATTTACTCCACATATTTGCGTCAAGGTGACTACCCAAGGTGAAATTGAGGGGGCGTTCCGAATTAAACCTTGAACGACGTTGATCTACATCACACGGCGCAAACAAAGGGGACTTTGAGGTAGTGTTTTGGGTTTGACATTGAATGACCTTTATTGTGGCAAAGTGACTTTGAGGAAGTGTTTTGGGTTTGACATTGACTGACCTCCATTATATCATGCGACTATTTTTAAAATTCAAGGATTCGACATTGAACGATCTTCAGCTGCATGGACGAAGAGGCTTTTGGAGTGCGCTTCCAATGACCTTTTGCAATATCATATGCCTTCGCTAATGCGACACAACAGGTGACATTGAAGGGGCGTTTCGAGTTTTACCTTGAACGACCCTGACCTACGTCACACGGCGACGCAGGCAAGTTGACTTTGATGTAGTGTTTTGGGTTTGACATTGAATGACCTTCATTGTTTGATGCGACTATTTCGAAGATTTTAGGATTCGACATTGAACGATCTTCAGCTGCATGGACGAAGAGGCGTTTGGAATGCAATTCCAATTTGACTTTGAGTGGCCTTTTGCAATATTATAAGATTAACCAGACTAGACTAGGTATCAATTTTCTTCTCCTGAGGATGCTAACTTTGTTGGCGAAACGCGCGTCGAGTGCAAAAATATCAGTTTGGTGTTAGGACAATTAATCTCGAAAAAAGTTATTAGTGTACCTACTAGTTAAAATTTAATATTCACTAGTAATTTTGACTCAATTTTCTATTCATGAAACATGTAAGATTTCCTTGAAGGTATATCTAAAAATATCCTATATCTATGAAGTAGAAGACATAAGAAAAGAACCGTCTTATTGTGTATACAATATTATGTGAAGTCAAGAATATTGTGTATACCTTCATTATAGTTATATAACAGTGCTCCAGTCAATTTAGAAATCCTTATGCACTTTATTGTGTTGTGTTTTTATAAAAAGATAATATTTAGTTATGCCTAACTAGATTTCATTACCACTAAAACAAATCAATCTTATTGAATTTCTGGATGAAGTGGTGACACTGAAGTTCATAATTTTCAATCAATCGATTATTTGTCATGCCCTGTAGTATGTCCAATTGGTTTAACAATTTCAGTGACTGATACAAACATTCGGATATTAACATACTTTATAGATACATTGTTTGCCATCAGATTGAAAAGATTGTCAAGGAAATGTGGACTGCTTGAGAATCGTTTGACTTATCTATTTCTTACAAGTTTTCGGAAAACAAGGCATTACCACAAACTTCTTGCGTTTTTCTTTACATATTTTCATGACACCGTTTCCAATTATTGTGTTTCCTGTACTTGTTTGTACAGAATCCCCATTGAATGTTTGCCAAAATCTCTGTAGAATCTCTGTTTGATATCATAGAGCTATAAGAAGCCGTTATTTGGGTCACATCGGATTTGTAGGTGCAATTTGTACAGGGTGGTTCCAAATTGGGCACTTTTAAAAAGGAACGAACTCCGGTTTTCAAACTAGATGGATGATAACTGATGGATGTGTCTGAGGGTCAAATTGTATGACAAACCTAATGGTGAAAACAGATATCTATCATCTTTTCTGAGTTCTGAGTTGATATTTCAAAGATGACATTAACAAAACATTGAGTGTATTAGCAAAAGAGTAAAAGCTCTGTATTAGATCTTTTGTTTTTTTCATGTAGACTTTGAAATGCATACTTTGATCAAATAGGCTTTGGACGATGCGGCGATAAAACAGAATGCAAATCATTACTGGTAGCTGTAAAATTTTGATTTAAGTAGTGAAGACGCTCTTCAATAAGTGGTTTTTGTTCAATTTTCAAATACATTCGCAATGAAGTATGAGAATTATGAAATATGGAATGTTTTATACAAACCGAGGAAAATGCAGAAGCAGCAAGCAATTTGTATCACGAGAGGTATCCAGAGAGAAGACAACCTTATAGATATTTTCACTAGATACACAACCTTTGAAAATAATCTCAAAATTTCAACGCAAAATTTGCACTCAGACCAGAAGATTTTGAATGCCGCATGGCTTTTTGCCAGTGGTTCCTGGAAAGTTTTAACCAAGTGCGTGATTTTTCGTTAAATTGTATTTGAACAGACAAAGCCTATGCCGATATTTTCAACTGCTACAATTCTTGTATTTGGGTTACATTCTATTGTGGAGCAGAGAAGTCAAGGAAGATTTGGATTTAGTGTGTGGGCAGGTGTTTCCAAGGGAAGAATTATCGGCCTATCTATTTATAATGGCATTCTCACATTTCAAAATTATTTAGAAATTTTAAGTCAAAATTTTGAACCCCTTGTTGATGAATTGCCACTAATGGAGCTCAGAAAAATAAATTCAACAAAACGGAGCTTTGCCTCACGACATTGCAATTGTCACCAATTTTTTGCTTGCAAATTTTGGTAATAATTGGATTGCCAACCAAGGACCCAAACGTTGGCCGTCCAGGTCGCCGGACCTAACCTCTATGTACTTTTACCTCTGGGAATGGTTGAAAGATCTTATTTTCAAATTTCCAAACAATTCTAGATACGAATTGGAAGCGACAGTGATGCAAACTTCTCTTACTCCTATTGAAATAATTAATTCGGCAAATATCGGTCAAAAAAAGTGTCGCCTATGTGTAGTGTCATTAGTTTTATTGAAACTATGCGTTTTAATTACTGCTGTAAAAAGCAAAGCTTTCTCAACATTTGATAGCTACTACTGAACAATTTCTTTCTATTTTATCGCCGCGTCGTCCAAAGCCTACTTGAGCAGACGGTGCGCTTCGAAATCTACATGAAAATACCTAAAAGCTCTGTATTTCAAAAAGGACTCTAGCAAAACATAAAGTGTGCTGAATTTTTGCAATTATTTTAAGCTCTATCGAAATATGCAGGAATATACAGGGTGTCTCATTAAAAAAAAATCCATCAATAACAATATCGATATCTCGTTTGAAAAAATAAGTTTTTACACCCTTGAATTCTACGTAAAAAAGTGTTTCGGAAATGTTCTCATAAAAACAAGAAATTTTTGACAGGAAAAAAGTTACAGCAACTTTTCGAAAAAAACTAAGTAATACACTTGATTTTATGATTTTCACTATAAATGGTTTTACGAAAACCGCGACATGCATTTCGCTACACCATAGCTTTCTCAAGAGTAAAAGAGAAAAAATGCTTGACAAAGCTATTGTATAGCGAAACATGTGTCACGGTTTTTATAAAACCCTTTATATAGAAAATCATACAATAAAGTTTATTGGTTAGTTTCAACATGGATTTTCATCAAGCATCGGCCAGTTTTATTCAACTTTTTGAAAATGCACATTTTCGAAAAACATGCTGTAACTCTGAAACGATGATAGATATAAATATGCGGTTTTAACCATTATTAATGAAATTTAATCCTCGGACACTGCCATCAGTTTTCATCTATCTAGTTTGGAAATAGGAGTTTTCCTTTAAAAGTGTTCAATTTGGTCCACTCTATACTTATGATACGAGAGCAGCAACGTCGGGAAAACAAGAATTTCAGGTAGTTTTCAGATATACTATCTGTCATTCTCCCGGACGTCATATATGGGCTATCTGGCTGGCGGTAGTGGTTGCGTTCATCAGTGCGCATCGTACCTGTACAAGTAAAATATCAAGTTTTTAAATTATTTTCGTTGAACTTTTTGATACATGAATCTATTGTTGCCAGATATCACATGATGTTATTTAAGTATCTGAAAATCCAAAATTAATTTGCCAAACAATACGAATGTTTAACCTCCAGACAAACCGATCTTAAAGTGATGTATCATTTTGCTTGGTCTAGAAATTGTTGTCAAATATATTTCAGAGAAACGACTAAAAAACCATTGAATTAATTTGTGGATTAATACGTACGGTACAAAAATAATTTTACAAAATTGAGATGATAATCAACCTCAAGTATGAAAATAAACAAAAATTTGGATGGTTACATGAAAAATAAGGTTAGATTTTTTAATCCATTAATGTATCACAATAAAGGCAGGCATCTTGATAAGCATCATCATCTTCGTCACTGCTGTTATTTTCATTGGCATGTTTAAAAACTGTTTTCCCGTTAACCAGCTGTCGTCGCCCCCCTACGAACGACAACTCTTCAAAAGTCGAAACTTGTGCGAGCTAAGGACTGACGAGTTCTTACCTTTTAACGTGTGATTCCTAACACGGAATCGTTTTGTAATAAGTTATTATCTGTAATAGAATGAAACATTTTATAATAATTTTTCGGCAAAGAAATTTATTAGTATTTTATTTTTAATTTTTACCTTTAGAAATAATGGCGGTAATTACTTAATTGCTCTGCAACACATCAGATAAAATCATATTTATCGTCGTTTATGGTTATGTTGGGAGATCGGTTTTCCAGTAGCTATGTTGTGAAGATTATATTTATTCAAATTTGGATGGAACGGATTACAGTTTTTTTTTTCTAAATTATTGATAAAATCGGCAAGTTGTTTTTCAAAAATTATAATTCGATTAGGTTGTAAGTCTTGCAAGACGTTAACCTTGCAAGTATCTTAATCCAGAAACATC